AATTGCGGCATTCACAACTGCATATGGTTGGGTCCTTCGCCAGGCTAATTTTCAAGGGAACCTCAGGGGGGGATACCGGCCGGCCTGGGATAGTGCAAATTCATATTTAGGATGGACATGTGGTCATAATCATATATGATTTACATACCCGAAAAGGGGTACCGATAACGCCGGGGGGGCGGGGTAGATCCTATTGTGTTTTTAGAAATGAGAATATCGGTTGTGTAGTAAAGATTGTGCGATGTACGTTGTGCAATGTATGTTGTGCAAGATATGTGCTGCAACCTCTGTAGTGCAGTAGGCAGTCTTGTAACCTATGTTTTAGGATATATGTTGTGCAACCTATGTGCTGCAATCTATTTGGTCCAATCTATGTGGTGCAGTAAATCACTTGCTCAACTTGAAGCTGTCGTCTCCACTGCTCGTGTGAACATCCCACCCTCCCACCCGCAACTTGGTCGCAAGACCTCTTCAGACAGTGACGGTAGGTACCAAATGGCACTTGGCAGTGACACCGACGCCGACGCCGACAGCGACAGCGACGACGACGACGCCGCCGACAACGACTACGACGACATCAACGACGTCACCAGCGTCTTCGACGACGACGACAACGACGACGACAACCACGACGACGACACCGACGACGACGACGCCGACGCCGACGACAACGACGACGATGACAACACCGACGCCGACGACGACGTCGACGCCGATGATGACGACGATGACAACGACGACGAAGACGACGACGATGACGACGTCGCCAACGAAGACGACGATGACGACGACGAGGGAGGAGGGAGGACGACGACGACGACAACGACAACGACGAGGGAGGAGGAAGGACGGCCACGACGGGAACGACGAAGAAGGAGGGAGGACAGCGACGCCGACGACGACGTCGACGAGGGAGGAGGGAAGACGACGACGACGAAGACGACGACGGCGACGAAATAGGAGGGACGACGACGAGACGCCCACGACGGACGACGACGACGAGGGAGGAGGAAGGACGACCACGGCGACAGCGACAACGGAAACGACGACGGCGCCAACGAGGACGACGACGACGACGACGACGAGGAAAGACAGAACACGACGACGGCGACGACGACGACGACGAGGGAGGAGGGAGGACGGCGACGACGACGACGACGACGACGCAAGAGCGCGCGCGCGCACGCTTTTGTTGAACATCAGTGTTGCGAAACCCTGTGTTTTTGCATGTTTTTTGGACACTCGAATTCGAAATCCTTCCGAAACCGAATGTTCCTGAAGGATTTCGGCATGCGCGCGCGACGACGCGCGCGCGTGCACTTCGTCCCATGTTTTTGAAAAGGTTCTCGCGACGGCACGCGCGCAAGGGCGTTCGAAAGATTTCGACATGCGCGCGCGAAGCCCGTTTGGTAGTATTTGTTTTAATTCTTGAACAACCTATGGTTTCCCTAAGATTTCGCAAAAGCGCGCGTGTTTGCTTTTTTAGAAAATCAGTGTTGCGAAACAGTTTTGTTATATGTTTTTTTTTGGGACCTCGATGTTGATCATTCCGAAACCGAAGGTCGTTGAAGGATTCCGGCATGCGCGCGCGACGACGCGCGCGCGTGCACTTTGATTTTTTTGGCAAGGGATTCTTGAAAACTTATGATTTTCGATAAACGAATGAGTCCGCGCGCGTAATATTTTTTGAAGAGAATGGCGGGGGGGGGGGTCGATACCGGTTTGGCTGGGATAATATGAACTCACATGTAGGATGGACATTGGGTCATAATCCTGCAGTGTGTGTTTTGCATCGGTTCCCGGTGGATCGTTAACCCCAGGGGGGGAAGGGTGGTATAACCTATTCTCCTTATAGAAAGGAGAATTGTGTGATGCGCAATTTATGCGGCGACGAGGCGGCGACGGGGGCAACATAGACGACAGACTGGCGGTCAGGCCCAGACGACGGGCGGCGACGAAGCGGCGACGGGGCCGCGACGGCGGTAACATAGTCGCTAGACAAGCAGACAGTCCCCAGGCGACGGGCGGCGACGAGGCGGCAACATAGCCGCCAGACCTGCAGACAGGCCCCAAGACTTAGAGGAGAAAGTAAGAACCCCTAAAGTGCAAGCATGTTTTTTTTTTGGTTCTCTACATTCGAGCTTCCCCCAAGACGTCCCAGGAGGCCCCCAAGACCGCCCCAAGATGGCCCCAGAGGCCCCCAAGAGGGTCCCAAGACGGCTCCAAGAGGTGCCCAAGAGGGGGAGCACGAATTGAAAATCCGAGCATTCCGCCCCAAGAGGCCCCAGGAGGCCACCATGAGGCCCCAAAGAAGCACCAAGATGTCCTCAACCAGCCCATCAAATGCAGCAAAACTGCCTTCAGGAGGCCCCGGAGAGGCCTCGACGAGATCCCCGCGAACATCCACGAGGCCCCAAATTCCCAATCCAGGCGCTGTGGCGGGATGGGCCGAAGGCCATTCGATACGTTGGAAAAACCGTCGAGCAAGAGCCCCATCTTGAAAAGTAACGGCGCTCCATCCGTGTACCAATCGCGCAATTTCAGACTTCAGGTGGATAAACACGTGTTAGCCAGCGTGGGCCCCGAATAGTAAGTTCTTGCACTGTGGATGTGCAGGCTATCGGGTGCAAGCTATGTGGTTTTAAGCTCTTTGGTGCAAGCTAAACGGGCCAACCAAGCGGCAACGAGCGGCAACGTGGCGAAATCCTGCTGGACCAACCCAGCGCACGAAGCGGCAACGAGGCGGCAACGGCCAGCAACGTGGTGAAATCTCACCGGTCCCACCCATCGCGCGAGGCGGCAACGAGAGCGACACGGCTTGCGGCTTGGTTGAAGTAGCTTGACCCCTTCCCCTACCCCCTTCCCCTTGGTCTGGAAGGGGGGCTTTGCCACGAGTTCGAGCGTCCAAGATGGTCTAATAGAGCAAAAAGCAAATCACTGACTTCCCGTAGGTTTTGGGCCAACAAGTCCCCAAAAAGCCCTCAAGCGGCCCCCAAGAGGCTCCCCAAAGCCCCAAAGGGTCACCCAAAACGCTCCAAGAAGACGCCCAAGTGCCAGCCAGAGCCCCCCAACACGCCCAAAAAGGCCTCGAAGAGGCGCCTCGGAGACACTCCAAGAGACCCAAGGAGGCATTGAAGAGGCCACTGGCCCCCTGATGCTCCCCGAGGTATCTCGATGATGCCACGCTCCACCGAGAAGGGCAGTTCCCCTGACCATCCTTCCAGGATGTGCTGATGGCGCTACGCGAAGCGTTAGTGGTGTTACAACACGCGCTGAATCATTGAATTTGAAACCAACTCGCCCTGGGTTCGTGTAGCTGGTATAAGACGAGTTGAACAGGGGATTGCACTCCATTCGTGCAGCTCCAGCTGTAAAAGTCCAACTTAACGAGCATACGATCTGAAGAGAGCGAAAGCGAGAAGTCGAGCTTGACACAGACTTACCCTTCATCCATGTAGTCGCATCACATTTCAAGCTTGAGGAATACAAAGCGTCAGGACGCCTCATGTGAGAAAGAATTCTCAAATGGGCCACTCTCCAGATGTATAGCCGCTTAAAGTTGCCAGCTGCAGAATAGGTGAAGTCCAAAAAAGGGCAGAGTTTTGAACACGAGCTGTCCTCCATCCCGCCGATCATGATCAGCGTCAAGCTGTATGTTGATTACTTGGCGCGGCCCCAATGAAGGATAGACTTGTGCTTTCAGTTGAAATCGTGCAGATGTAGCGCGCTCCACGCCATTGCGTGGTACACTAATACATGATATAGCCGCGTAGCAATTCATAACATAGAAACGTTGCGTGTCATTGAAAAGCAAAGACAGCACGGCAAAGTATATACGTGTACATCATTGCGTTGTGCACCGTGGAGCATAAACTACAGCATTTCACAGCAATTTCAAGCGTAGTCTGTTGTGCTTATGCTGGTGGTGCCACCTGACGCATCCTCAAGGCTAAAACTTCAATGCGAAAGTTCAATGTGTTTTGCATCTGCCACTGGCCGCACTTTACAACCACCTTCCCCCTGCCTGCAGCTGCAACGCTCGCCGACCATTGACTCAGAGAGAGGAGGAAATAATAGGAAAGAAGAGAGGTACGACGATGATGAGAAAGGATGAAGTCACAGGCGCGATGGCGGAGTGGGGCCTTGAGCCAGCGCGGTCGGTCTTGTTGAGCAAGGGAGCGGACGTGGCAAAACTGTAAATAAAGATGCGTGCAGTTCTATATGCATATGTATAGGTATATGTAGTGTATGTGTACACCTATCTTTATACTTATGTTATACGTGCACGTACATAAGGTATATACGTATACGAATGCTGGCATAGAAGAGACAGCGAGGAATACACATAGCACAGACACGTGTGTGCGTATATATATATATATATATTATAAATATATGGGCGATTTCGGAAACCCTGAACCCAGCAACGTTTTCATCTCTTGGGGACACATCTTTTACTTCCGCCGCCTTCCACCGAGCTTCCGCCGGCTTCCGCCAACGGCGGAGGCCTCGTTTTACTTCCGCCGACCTTCCGCCGAGGAGGAGATGACAAATCCGTCGATCCTCGAAGGCGAGGCCCTTTTTGGAGAGAGAGAGAGAGAGAGAGCTAGAGAGAGAGAGGTAGAGAGAGAGAGAGAGGTGGAGAAATAGAGAGGTATCTGTGTATTTATTTTTATATAGATATGTGTGTATACTCATACATGTATAGATGTGTATACAATGTGCAAAAGTACGTATCAAGAGAAGACCAGGGCGAGGGGAGGAGGAGGGAGGGGAGGGAGGGTGGGAAGGAGGGGGAAGGACGGAGGGGGAAGAAAGGAGGGTGAGCAGGGTAATTCGTGGGGTAGGGCGGAGCAGGAGGGGGGTGGGCGGAAGGAGGAAGGAATAGGATAATGAAGGGGACAGAAGGGAGTGGAAGATGGGGGGTGGATTCACACGTGTCCCGCATGGCTCAAGGGAGGGATAGTTAGACAGGAGTCTCTGAGCTGAGCGTGGAACTCTTTTGCTTGTGTCGCTGCCAGCGCCGCTGAAGGAACGCAACGTCTATCCTCGTCTGCTGTCTCTGTGGCCTTCAAGAAACCGCCCTGGCAACCATGGCAATTTGGGGAGCAGCGAGAGGGAAGGGGGGGGGGAGGAGAGCGGGAGGTGGGGTTAGGAGGACGCCTTGGGGGTCCCTGGTCGGAGAAGACCTGACCCCCACCCCAAGATGAACCAAAAAGGTCGGGTGAGGGAGGTGTGCATGAGCTCACGCCGTGCCAGTGACTGCGAAGGGCAGGGCGCCACCGCCGCCGCCTTCCGGGTCCTCCCTGGCCTCCGCGAGCTTCTGCACCACCTCCTGAAGCACCCTCTTCTTCTCCATGCGGAAGGTGACGGCGGCCCGCTTCCAGCCCTGCAGATCGGGGAGCTGCTTCTCGTCCTCCTGCAGCGTCGTGGGGAACTCGTTGGCGCCCCTCAGTAGGTCGACCAGCCTGTCGACGCAAGCGGCGCGCCGATCCCCGAAGAGACCAGCCAAGCCGCGAGAGTCGCCCGCCACCACCGGCACGTCCTGTGGCTCCCCCACGTACACATCCAGCTCCTCCTCCGTCCTGCACGACAGCGCCCTGGCGGCGTGGAACAGCGACTCGCTGATCATCTCCTCCACGTGCTCGCCCCTCCGCACCTCGCCCCTCACGAGCACGTCGCCCGCCAGCCGCCCAGGCCGCGTGGGCACCGCGGCGGTGATGGCCTTCAGCTGCCACAGCGCGGCGCCCTCTGCGACCAGGCCCCACACCTGCAGCGGCTCGTCCGCGGCCAGCTGCGGGGGCGGCAAGCCGCGTTGCCAGAGGTACTCCTCGCCGTCAAGGCCCAGGTCCCTGGTGAGCACGTCCCCGGGCCGGAGGCTGCGGGCGGCATACAGCACCTGCACAGGCCCCTCTGGCACCAGCCTGCAGCTGGGGCCTTCGTCGCCCGCCCCGGGGGGCCCCACGAGGTCCACCAGCGGCACGAGCCCGGAGCGGCCGCCGCCCAGGGGGACGGCCCGCTGGCGGGCCGCCGCGACCGCCCACCGGAGCTCCGTCAGCGCGTCGCCGGGGAGGCCGCCCAGGCTCTCTGGCTTCAGGCAGGCGTCGGCGAAGGAGCGCAGCCGCTCGACCTCCTCGCTCACGGCCTGCCTCGCGGGCGCGTACTGCAGCTCAGCCAGCTCCCTGTCCCCCCAGGCCAGCGGCGGCGCGGCGCGCGGGGGGAGGCTCGCCACGTAGGGCTCCCACCATGAACCCATGCCAAGAGCCTTCTCCCGCATCAGCTGCAGCCCCAGCCGCAGCTCTGGCGAGTCCACCGGCGAACCCGCGGCGGATTTCATGAGCCCCTGGAACTCCTCCGCGGTGTCTGCGCCCTCAGCGCCGCCGGGGCCTTCCGCTGGCAGCTCGTCACTGAGAACAAAGCCGGGCATCACGCCGATCAGCGGCGTATCTGCGCTGATGGGCAGCGAGACGATCAACTGAGCCCCCTTGACCGACAGCCCAGGATGAACCTTTACCACGTCTGTCCGGCCGCGGGCAAAAGACAGCAGCCGCAGCACGCTCATCTCCGTCGGCTCCACGGGCGCCCTGTCCTGCTCCGCCTGGGCCGCGGCCCTCTCCTCCGCCTCGTCCCTCCGCTTCTCCTTGAGGCGAAGGGCAAGCATGCGACACGCCGCAGGCCCACTTTGGGCCCCTCCCCCAGGTGGGGACGACCTCCCTCCCTGGCCCGGCTGGGAGCCGACGTGCACCGAGGCTGGGGCCTCAAACGGGCCTGCGGAGGCGTCGTGGTGGATGCCTCTCCCCCCGATCTCCTCCTCCGCCGCCTTCCTCGCGGCCTCCTCGGCCCTCTCCCTGTTGAGGTCCTCGACCGATTTCTGCACCTGGTCCTCGGGCACCAGCTCGCAAATGGGCTTGCCCGCCCAGCTGCCAGAGACACCCGTGGCGAACGCCCAGCCGCACTTCCCATTGACCCTCAGGTAGCACATTCCGCCCGTCGCCTCAGACTGGAGCACCTCCAAGGCCTGGAAAGTTTCGCCGGCCTCCAAAGCATCTCCAGTTGGCGCCGAGCCGACATCGGGCTTCTCGCGCAGGCGGATCTTGGTCAACGCGCGCATCGTGGAAGGACCGCCCGAGTCAGCTAACATCGCGACGCTCCGGACGCTCTGGGCTCCTCGTCGCCTGGAGAAGCCTGCCAGGGCGCCGCCGCAGTCGCCTCTCCGCAGTCCCGCCCCCGCCGTTGCGGTGGCCACGGCAGCCACCCAGGGAGCCGCGCCATGGCCGTGCTCGGCAGGACCTCCAGCGCTGCCCGCGACGGCCCCGACCCCGGGACCCGACCACGGCCACGACAGCAAATCCACAGCCCAGGCCAAGAGCCATGACTTTTTTATAGCGAGAATGCTCAGAGCGCACCTTCGAGCCAGTCTGCTCCCCGTCCCGCGATCTGAGAGACGTCCAGGGGGCGCCAGCTGGGAGGGCAACTTCTTATTCGTGGCGCTGGCTGCATGGGGAACGCTCCCGAATGCCGAGGTCGGGGTATGATATCCGCCCAAGGTCGGCTAGGAGTTCTCTTTCGGGCCCCCCTTGCACATTATACTACTCTCTTCCTGCTCCTCAATCTTTCTCGTCTTCCTCCTCCCCTCTAAAAGCTGGACTGGCAATACTGCAAAGTCGAGGGCCGACAATCGTTGTATAGTTGTTTCGCCCATGTGGGTTCGGAAAGCGCGGTGCTTTTTGGTTATCCTTGACTGGTGCACAATGAAGATCACGCAATTGCTCAGCAACCTTCTTTGGAGTACTTCTGTTCAACAGCGCCCTATCATCTCTGCGACCCTAATCCAACAAACGCTAGCACAAGCTGGAGTAGATGGAGGTGATACTTCACTACTGATGATGCTGCTGAAAAACATGAATCATATGAGCATGCTACTGGTTTATATGTTGCTGCTGACGACGATGCTGCTACTGATGGTGGTGATGATGATGATGCAGATGATGCTGATGATGATTATGATGATGATAATGCTGCCGCTGATGATGATGAGTTTGATGAGTATGATGATGCTGATGCTGCTGATGCTGCTGATCATGATGATGACGACTATGATGCTGATGCTGCTGCTTCTGATGATGATGCTGATGTCAATGATGATGCTGCGTAGTATGATGAACACAATGAGGAGGCTGACAATATTGATAATGCTAGTGCTGCGGCTGATGATGATATTGATGATGCTGATGATGATGCTGCGGTGGACGATGCTTATGATTGTGACGATGAGGATTTTGATGATTATGAACATGCAGATGAAGATGAAATTGCATATGATGATAATGCTGATGCTGCTGATGATTACAATGCCTGTGAGGATGGTGAGGATGAGGATGATGATGATACTTTAGATGCTGATGCTGATGCTGATGCTGCTGATGATGAGGCTGACGAGGATGCTGATGCTGATAGTGATGCTGCTGCTGCTGTTGCTGCTGATGATGCTGCTGATGCTGCTGCTGCTGCTGCTGCTGATGATGATGATGATGATGATGATGATGATGATGACGTGGAGCCTCTTACCCTCTACATCCAATACCCCTCGAAACCCTCCGAGAGCTGCAACGAACCTCAAGCAGCCCCCGAACATGTTCAGGAGGAGGATGAGGAGGATGAGGAGGATGAGGAGGAGAAGAGGAGGAGGAGCAGGAGATAGAAGACGAAACAACGACAAACACAGAAACATTCGGGGATTCCCACCCCCCTTCCCCGGTGCGCGGAGCGCGCCCGTGGCGGTGCCGCACGCTCCGCACGGTGCGGGGATGGGGGTCCACCGCCGACCCCACCAACCCGTGCGAACCTCAGCCGAACGTTTGTGCCCGTGTCGCGCTCTGGCCGCCCAAATGGGGTCCGGGCAGGTGGGGTCGGAGGATCGCGCCGCACCGCCGATGCATCGCCGAGACATCGGCGACGTCGGCATGGGGAAGATCGGGCTCCACATCGAGCCGTGTCGCCGATGCATCGGCGACGTCGGCGATGCATCGGCGACTTCGGCGTTGAGAAGATCGGGCTCCACATCGAGCCGTGTCGCCGATGCATCGTCGGTGCGGCGTGATTTTCCGACCCCATCTGCAGTCGGGCTGCTGAAATAAGGAACGATACATCAAGAAATAACCTCCTTTCTGGCTCCAGAAGCGCCAACGTGCACGAGGAGGGCTACAGGAACATCCATGGAAACACCCTTGGAGCAGCGAGCTTTTTCCGAACCCAGAGCGGTCCTCATTTCAGCGTCTTGACCGCACTCGGACCCCATCTGGGAGGCCCAGCGGGGAGGGGGCGGCGCGACCTTCTCCTCCGAGACCCACGCGCCGACGTCCCCGAGGCCGCGCGCTCCCCAGCTGCAGCGGCTGCCGCGGCGCCAGCGGCGGAGCGGGGCAGCTCGCCGCGGCGGCGGCCCACATCGCGCGGCCCGCCGCGACCGCGGGAGCCCCGCCGGCACAGCGGCAGGGTGGCCAGAGCTTGCAAGAAGGAGTGCCAGAGGGAATGGGCCCGGGAGCTCCTCGCGATGGGTGCGTCTGCCTCTCGAAGCAGCGGGGGCGGAAGCAACCGAGTCGTGCGCGGGCAGCACGCTTCCGAGGAGGTTGAGCGCGGCCCAAGCGCACGCTCGCCCCTCGTTCTCGGGGGAGGGGGAGGGCAGTCGGGATGAAAAGTGGGAGGCAGGGATGGGGAAGAGCTAGCGAATGGCGAGGGGAAGGGGGGAGGTGAGGGGAGGAGAGTGGGAGTTGGCGAGGAGGAGGAGGAGGAGGGGACCAGCAAGCGGCGTATGGCGGGTATTTTGCAAGCGCTGACTGCTGTAAGTTCGCAGCGCACGAAGCGGCAATATGATTATATTTCGTGGACTCATGCAATAACATTTGTTTGACCGTGCGCCGGAGCCGAAACACAAACGTCTCTTAAGTATCATGCCCCCCCCGCAAATGTGGATACGAGTGAGGGGGGGGCAACGAATGTGTGGCTGTGTGGGCAGGTCGTCGCGGATCGCACGGCAGGGACAAACGCACAAGTGTTCTCCCAAACCAATGCAAAACATCACACCGCAAACACCGATGTTTTGTTCACAGCGATGTGAATGGGTCGCGGGTGTGTCGGGTCACGGATGCGGCGTCGCGGGTGGATCACGGGTAGGTCTCGGGTGGGTCACGGCGCGGGTGCGTCGCTGGCGTGTTGCGGGTGGGTCGCGGGGCGGGTCACGTGGTGACGACGACAAGAACAATAAGGACGACAATCCACACCGCGGAACCCAACCTCAGCCACGCACCCAGGGACAACGGAAGACCGCTGCCCCCCGCACTCTGACATAATGTTTATCGATTGATTTCGACATTCCGCATTTCACTTTGGCCCTCGAAGCTAGCCATGGCTATCTCAGGCCCGCCTAAGATACCCAATGACACCCACATGTTCCCGCAATGGCTGGTGGAACGGCGTCCTGCAAAAATGACACCTCGCTGGCCTGGGTGTTGCCAAACGTTTTGGGCAGATTGGGTGCGTCCCTGGGCAATTCAATCTGTTTTTCCCTACATTCAACATGTTTTTTCCCAACCCTCCTATGGTTGGGTACTCGTTTTGAATTGAGCAGTGTGGTCGCCGGCCTCCTTCTTCTCCTCCCCCCTCCTCCCCTCCTCCTCTCCTGTTTCCTGTGTTCCCCTCTCCTCTTCTCTCGTGCCGTCGGGCTGCGACCTGCGCAACTGTCGCCACTTTCGTGGGCTCCTGGGAAGCCCAGCGGAAGTGGGTCCCACGCGGACCACCTCGGGACCTCGCGGTGCCCTGGGGGCTGCGATCTGCGCAACTGTCGCCACTTTCGTGGGCTCCTGGGAGGCCCAGCGGAGGTGGGTCCCACGCGGACCACCTCGGACCTCGCGGTGCCCTGGGGGCTGCGATCTGCGCAACTGTCGCCACTTTCGTGGGCTCCTGGGAGGCCCAGCGGAGGTGGGTCCCACGCGGACCACCTCGAGACCTCGCGGTGCCCTGGGGGCTGCGATCTGCGCAACTGTCGCCACTTTCGTGGGCTCCTGGGAGGCCCAGCGGAGGTGGGTCCCACGCGGACCACCTCGGGACCTCGCCGTGCCCTGGGGGCTGCGATCTGCGCAACTGTCGCCACTTTCGTGGGCTCCCGAGAAGCCCAGCAGACGTGGGTCCCACGCGAATCACCTCGAGACCTCGCGGTGCCCTGGGGGCTTGTGACCTGCGCAACTGCCGCCACTTTCGTGGGCTCCTGAAAAGCCCAACAGACGTGGGTCCCACGCGAATCACCTCGAGACCTCGCGGTGCCCTGGGGGCTTGCGATCTGCGCAACTGTCGCCACTTTCGTGGGCTCCTGGGAGGCGCAGCGGAGGTACGTCCCACGCGGATCACCTCGGGACCTCGCGGTGCCCTGGGGGCTGCGATCTGCGCAACTGTCGCCACTTTCGTGGGCTCCTGGGAGGCCCAGCGGAGGTGGGTCCCACGCGGATCACCTCGGGACCTCGCGGTGCCCTGGGGGCTGCGATCTGCGCAACTGTCGCCACTTTCGTGGGCTCCTGGGAGGCCCAGCGGAGGTGGGTCCCACGCGGATCACCTCGGGACCTCGCGGTGCCCTGGGGGCTGCGATCTGCGCAACTGTCGCCACTTTCGTGGGCTCCTGGGAGGCCCAGCGGAGGTGGGTCCCACGCGGACCACCTCGGGACCTCGCAGTGCCCTGGGGGCTGCGATCTGCGCAACTGTCGCCACTTTCGTGGGCTCCTGGGAGGCCCAGCGGAGGTGGGTCCCACGCGGACCACCTCGGGATCTCGCCGTGCCCTGGGGGCTGCGATCTGCGCAAATGTCGCCACTTTCGCGGGCTCCTGAGAAGCCCAGCAGACGTGGGTCCCACGCGAATCACCTCGAGACCTCGCGGTGCCCTGGGGGCTTACGATCTGCGCAACTGTCGCCACTTTCGTGGGCTCCTGGGAGGCCCAGCAGAGGTGGGTCCCACGCGGATCACCTCGGGACCTCGCGGTGCCCTGGGGGCTGCGATCTGCGCAACTGTCGCCACTTTCGTGGGTTCCTGGGAGGCCCAGCAGAGGTGGGTCCCGCGCGGATCACCTCGGGACCTCGCAGTGCCCTGGGGGCTGCGATCTGCGCAACTGTCGCCACTTTCGTGGGCTCCTGGGAAGCCCAGCAGAGGTGGGTCCCACGCGAATCACCTCGGGATCTCGCAGTGCCCTCGGGGCTGCGACCTGCGCAACTGCCGCCACTTTCGTGGGCTCCTGGGAAGCCCAGCATGTAGCTGGCAGTCAGGTAGCAGCAGCAGTAATCACAAAAAACCAGTCGTCTTCCTGAGTCTTGAACGCTCAACTTCGAGAGGTGGTCGGCTGTTTGCTGGCCGGCAATATCTACATATTGGTCTCGGGGTGGAATTATGCTGACGGGCCGAACCGTGCTCGGCCGCTAGGCACATGGTCAAGTAGATAAACCGGCCCAAACAAGGGAGGGCCGCCGAAAGCAAGGTAAACATTGCACTCGAAAGAAATTGGGATTGCTGCTGCCACAAGAGACTGCTACCAAAATGTGATGGTAATATTTCTCGAATATTTGGACGCATGGAACAAACTAGCGCCGACTATTACGGAAAAACTTAGATTTCGAGCTCTCTGAACACCTCAAACACCTGTGGATGGATGTTCTACCCAAGGGTCTTGCAGGAGACACGATATCCGCTGCCAACTAGTTTTTGCCGCAGACCAGAAACCAGCCGCCAGCGTTTTTTTTTTTTTTTTTTTTTTTTTTTTTTTTTTTTTTTTTTTTTTTTTTTTTTGTTGTTGTTGTTGTTGTTGTTTTCTTGTTGTTGTTGTAAAAAAGTATAAACAATATTTCCGCAACTGGAGGCGCACAGTGCAGCGGGCGCGCGCGCTGCCCGTTACCCCGCTCATGGTACAAGGCTCAGCTGGCGCAGCTAATCCCATGCAGAAGGTATCGTCTTTGGCGGCACTCCTGGTTGGTTACGTGTGCCTTCTGAGGACAAGGGAGATACTTACCTGGGCATTTCCGACATTGTTCATTCTGGCGGACCGAACGGGGGCCTGTAAATCCTTCGCGGAACCAAAACGGGACAGCGCAATGTCATGGAAAAGGTTCGGGTGCACGATTCGCATGTCATTGCCGCCCTGCACATCGCGCGCCAGAATGTGAAAGGACCGGAGCTTTTCGAAGGAACCGCCTGCCAGTTCAACGGCACTCTGCGCGACTTGGGACGGCGAGTTGGGTTGCCGACAGGGCCGCTCGCGGGCTACTCACTGCGCCGCGGCGAGGCCACATGGTACTTCCTGAGGCAGGGACAGCTCAGCAAAACAACTGTCCACGGAAGGTGGAATCAAGAGAAGACCGCAGCAATCTACATTGACGGAGCACTCGCCCAACAAGCCGAATCGTCTCTTTCAACGTCTTCGCGGAGGTTACTGGAAACATGGGCCTCGGTGGCCACAGATTTGCTCCGCTGCCCCCCCATGCGCGCCGCCCGCTTGCTAGAGCAGTGAGCTTCGAAGTGGGCACGGGTCCTGTCAGGCGCCCTGCCTGCTGGAGTGGTCAGTAGGCGGGTGCGAGGGGGGTGTCCCCAGGGTGCGTTCCAAGCTCGTGGGGCTTGGTCTCGCACGCGGTCTTGCACGTGGTAGGTCCAGGGGCGTTCCTCTCGGGGGGGTGCTGACAATGCCGGGGGCGGGGTGTGGTGCTCTGCAGGCAGGGGGCCGGCCACGGCAATCAAGCAAGGCTTGGGGGCTTTCTGCGGAGGGAGTCTGCTGGCAGGGCCTAATGGACTGTATTGACTTTCGCACCTGGCCCTCCACTACCCCGGGTGCTGGGGGGGGGTTGTGCTGAAGGGGGGTGGGCAGTTTGCGCGGCATGGCAGAGTGCCAGTCGGCGCAAGGTTCGGCAGCGCGGGGCTCGCTGAGGAGTGGGTGCCGCGCTGGCCCTCGGAGCGAGGGTTGCGGGCCAGGGTCCTCGGTGCGGGGGCCCACGGAGGGGTCGCGCGGGAAGCGTGCCGCTGGGCGCGACCGCGCAGGCGACCACCTGTGTTCAGGGGTGCCCGGAGCTAGTGTGCCCCCCCCCCGATCGTCTTCCTCATCGTCTGAGTATTCCTACTGCCTTGCTCCATCCATGCGCGCCCTTATCCATAGCCTTTTTCTATCTCCTCCACGACCCCCACCACCTCCCCTGGGGTTTGTGCGGCATGGCAGAGCGCCCGTCGGCGCATGGTTCGGCAGCGCGGGCCTCGCTGAGGAGTGGGGGCTGCGCTGGCCCTCGGAGGGTTGCGGACCAGGGTCGTCGGTGCGGGGGTCCACGGAGGGGTCGTCCGGGAGGCGTGCCGCCGGGCACGACCGCGCAAGCGACCTCGCGAAGTAGCAACGTGAGAACGAAGGGAAGTAAGGCGGGAGGGTGAGCACTTGTCCTCAGGGGTGCCTGGAGCGAGCGTGCAAATCCCCGATCGTCTTCCTCTACGTCTGAAAATTCCTACTCCCTTGCTCCATCCATGCACGCTCTTAGACATAACCATGTTCTATCTCCTCCACGACCCCCGCCACCTCCCGTGGGGTTTGCG